CGCTCTATCTCTACCTAGATAACCGACAGCTCTTTTTAATACTCAACCATATCTCTTCTTCCGATACATTTCATAATTATAAAAAGTTTAAAAATAAATGGTCTCTAGGCAGAAAAGCTTTCTCTGAATAATGATATATATCTTTTATTAAGTCAGTTTTAAATTACTGCAAACTTTGTATTATAAATCTCCTACGAAGTAAAAAAGGACTGTTAATACAGCAGTTCAGAATGGTGTGAGTAAAAACATCTGGTGTGTCCACTCACACGACTTTTCTACCTATTTCAAAGTTTTTATGTCTTTACTTTAGCTTGGTATTGTCAAACAATAATTTGTGTTATAAGTAGAGGAAATAGTGAAGCTTGTGTGATGCGGACAACAGTTTTCTTACTTTCACTTAGTCATATTTTTTCTCTCATTCATACCTTTCTGACACCAGGATATGAACTCGTAAACTTACATTGGAAATTGAATAGCTGTAACTTCGTTAATAGTTGTCCAAAATGAACGATTTTTATATAGTTTTGTAAGGAACTTCCATTACCTTTCAAAAAAAAATCAGATTTGACATGATCGCAGTACTTTCCTAACCTAGTATAGGTAGGAAAGTAATAAGTTAAAACATGTGTAAAAGATGGAATAAGCTGTATCATCGCTAATACTGGTTCGATTCCGATAATTTTTTTTTTGTTTTGTTGGTAATTTAATTACCTTTCAAAAGTTCTATTATAAATTTTACCGTATAATAAATATACTTAGAGAGTTAGGCCCCATAACATTTTTCTTTTTTTTCTGAATTTTCTCGGGAATTTAGTCCATATACGAAAATTGAAAGGATAATTATTAGAATACTATAGAAAAGTTTCTTCAAAATCGTTAGAGCCGTTTTCGCGCTACAGTCCATAGAAAAACGTGTTTTTCATTTATTGCGCGCAAGCTATTGCGCATGGAGCACCGAATTTCTGTCACAGACATCAGTAGTCAAAACCCTTAAAAATAAAAAAAAAAGCAACAAAATCGGTTCAGTAGCTCTCGAGAAAATCTTGGCACAGACAGACAGACCAATGACTAAAAATGTGATTTTCGCACTTAGGGGGCTCTAAAACGTGTATATCCGTCGAAAACCGCATATCGGAAATTTGACCTGATTTCAATACTTTCCTTACGTAGTATAGGTAGGAAAGCAAAAAAAAAAAATAATAATAATATATATATATATATATATATATATATATATATATATATATATATATATATATATATATATATAAACGTGAACAATAAAAGCTTGGTGCGGGAACCTCAGTAAGGCACTGACGTTAAATGCTCAAGATTCTAGATTCAGATGATCCTTCTGGGGCACACCCAGTCTCTATAAACGGGTATTTTCAATTAAATAATTAATTAAGGAAAAAACCTTATGATTGAGTATCGTCCCGGCCTAATCCCCGCTCTTTACAACTGTTGGTCTGGGTGCAGTACTTACAAAGTACTCAACTAAAAATAACCCAAGTTAAAAATTTTTATCAAGTTCACCATGCTACAAAAAATAATCTCTCGATATTGAAATAACAATAAATATGTTCAAAGAAATCAATATGATGTATTTGACAAGATGAAGCTATCCGAAGTTACTAATGGGATTAATTTTATCTATTGAAATTTAAAACGTTGGTAATTAGATACAATAATGTTATGTTTTAGTTTTAACTAAAGAAATAAAAGGAAGAAAAGACTTTACAGTTATGAAGCCTAATTTCATTTTGGCTCCCTTATTTGTGTGAAAGTAAAATCTACAGGTGTATATATATGTTCCCAACTTATTTTCGCAAGTGTACGAAAAAATATGAATACCATGATTCTTTACATAGGAATATAAATTTATACAAGAAGATAGTCCGGATAAATAAAAAAAACAATAGTGAAAAGTATATGTATTTACCGAAAATTCGTTTCAGGGCTAAATAGAACAAGAAACGAGGTAAATACGACTGAAGTAAAAAAAAAAAAGAAAAGAAAAATGAAAAAATAATAAAATATAGATAGTAAACACCAGATATAGTAATACAATTACAAAAAAATAAAATTATGAATGGAATTATCGTTCAGTCTCATTTATAAATTTTATTTTATATTTTCTTATTTTACCTCTTGTTTATTATTGTATTATCTCAATTATTTCATATCTTATTCTCTATTGCCTTGAAGAAAGATGTAAGTTTCTATTATTTTAGTATTACTCTTTAATTTTTTTATTTGTTGGCCCAAGATTTCCAATGAAGTCCTATACTGCAAAATCAGTATTACCTTAAGCAATGAAGGGGAAAGCTTAACTGGCAAATTAATCAATTAACAATCATTTTATTAAACGCTAAAAAAAATTATAATAACCATAAAATACAATATGGTTGGACTAATAGAAAAATTTGAGATAATGGGGCTCGAAATGACATAAATAACTGAATAATTTAAAAAGGGTGATTTTTTCCTTAAAAAAATGGATGATAATTCAGTATTACTTTTATCGGCCATCAAGACCATTTTCTTCTTTGTTGATTGTAAATTTAATTTCTAATTATTTAATATATGATAAAAAATAAAAGTCAAAACCTTTGTTTATCCAAATAAAAGTTATATTTGGGTGCCATGTGCAACTGCAATGGTTGAGGCACCTTATTCAATTTCAATATCATTACATATCCAATAAAAATATGTCTGTTAAAAGATTGTGTTGTTTCTGGTGAGATTGTGTTATTAAGAAATGTATATAAACAATCTGTTGTTAGAACTGCATTTTTTTTTTATTTTTTTTTTTAAAAATCAAATATGGAAAGAATACAAAATGTTAACGTCATTTGATGCTATTCTAAGGATATATTCCTGAACTGAATTCTAGACCTCTAGTTGTTTCACGGTAAAAAGTCACCACTTCATTGAAATTTGATCATTAACATAAAGAAGCCATTAGAAAGAATAAAATGTATTTTAAATTATATTAATGGTAATAAAAGATATTTAAAGATCAAAACCAAATATGAAAATAATAATATGCCGCAAGATTCACCATTGGCAGTTCTGCACTAATTTTGAAAATATCTGTCTATCAGCCAACTATTATCTCTTTAACAGCGTCAATAGCTCATCTGGTGCAATTTATATAGGGAACAGCAGATTCGGGAAACTGGCCAGTTCTACGTAAGCAGTTAAAATTAAGCTGCGGATTGCACAAAAATATGGCACAGAACTGGAAGCGATTTCGTAAGATAATTACAAGATATAATTAACGAAATTACGAAATTGAAAAATAAACTCTGTCAACCTGATCAACATCAAAACGATGGTTTTATTGATATCATTTAAAATACCAAACCACTATCTATTGACCTGATCTATATTAAATCTTAATTAAAAATATTAAAATTATATATTTCTATTAAAATGCTACATTTCATCTGTAGTCCCATTGTTACTAGATATATTTGTAGGAGCTATGGTGTAAATTATTTTGTCAATTTAATCAAGTAGTGTAGGTAATATCCAAAAAAATCTATGATACAATGGCAACAGAATGGGAGGGGAATACAGTTTCCTCTTAATGCAATGTGTAGTTTACATTCGAAGTTCAATTACAATATTTAATAGTCAAGCGGGTTCAAATATGAGTTTGTTTTTATTTAACATAGTTTAATATTTGACAGGGTAAAATTAATTTTGCCTCTATAGACAGCACTCGATTAAGATTCATCGACTGGGTACAAAATATTCAAAGTGCTAATAGAGAATTTTATATTGGCGTGATATATCTAATTAATTAATAGAGTAGAGAAGCAGCACATTGCACAGTACATACCTAGTCTATGATCAAGTATGCATTACATTTGGAAGCAATCCTGACATCTCCACTACTCTAAGCCATCCTTGAGCGCGCACACGTGTGTTCCTTCGTTGATTCTGTTTCATTTGATTAGCCCTTATTTGTCCTTTTGTTAATTATAAAATCCGTCCAAATTTTATAATCAATAATTTTTATCACTATTTACAATGTGAAACTGTTAATTATTTTTTATGTATAGTTTGGATGGGACACCAATAACTTATATATTAATTCATAAATAGTTCTGATGATCTGTCCAACAATTTAAATTTGTTTTCTTCCATTCCAATTGTCAATAGACAATGATCACTCATTTACCAATTGTACCATATTAGTTTTATTTTTTTTAAATTTTTAACATCATTTTAATGTTGACACATCCTTTTTCCAATATTTACGGTCACGCCCGTATATACGGATTGACAATCCAAACACTCTATTTTATAAACTACATCAGACTGTTAATAGGCTTAAACGCTAGAAGGATTTCTTCTAGGTCATATTTCTTTACTCTCCTCTATATATTCTCCGAAAGTCCTTTTATGCATGTTCATTGAACTTAAATTTTTGGTTCCATATTTTGTCTGGGTATCTTTTTTCTTTATCATCTGTGGAAACATTTTATAAGGTAGTCCCCTACCAAACTTTAACAAGTTGCATCTGAACACTTGCTTGCAGTATGTTTATAATCGCCACAAATTAAATATAATATGGATCCGTATTCAATCAATTTTAAGAACTGATATCTATTGACAAGCGTACCCCATATTCAATCAAGTTTAAGATACAGTTGCTCCGGAAATTTTGGAAAAACCCGGACCAATTTGGACTCAGATCGAAAAAATCCCCGTGAGACTAATGCAATGAGGTTTAATAGGTAACTGTTAAAACATTTCTGGCTGCTGCAAGTAGCCTATATGGTCGTATGGTAGTATATGGTATTAGTTATGTTCTTGGAAGAAAGGGAACTTCTAATAATATAAATTTAATATGAAAACCGGATGATGAGATAAGGCATCCTTGGGAAATGGCGAGATAAGAAATCACTTCCATTGATATGAATGTGTAAGTGTAACCAACATATGAATAGCTTACGAGGAAATTGTGAAATGCATATATTACTCACCGAGGTCTGCCCTGCTCCTAAGCCTCTCCCACTGGACATAGCGCAGCCTCTCCTAACCGGGTCCGAAGAGCCCTGCAACAGACAACAATTATTGTTATTATTATTTATTTAAAAAGAAGATGTTAGATTATAATTGGAAAGTTCCAAACACAAGACTCCAAAATTTAAATGAAATTAATAAGAAGAAACTAACTACAGCAATTCCCTCTGTCATTTAATTATTAATCAATGTAAAACAATATGTGTAGTAAAAATTATTCATTGCTAATAACAACTAATTCAGGTTATGCCATTAATTCTTAATAAGGAAATATACCAGAAAAGAAGTCATTTTACATGTCGGTTAATAGCTCTGGAGGCAAAACCTAAGAAGAGTACTCACCTCAAGTGAAGATTCGAATGTGAATTATGAAAGTGTGTGTTATTTTAAGTAAAATGAACCTTGCTTGTCATTCCAGAGCCTCTGCTTTCAATGGCGGCCATTCTGCTCAAAAATGGCGGTTGGTTTAAAGAATATTTGGCCATAACTTGCGAAATTTTTGACTTGTTTGTTTTTAATTTTTTTATTTACAAATATACAATTTAATTATGGGTGATAAATATTCAAGACGCAGTCTTTTTTTATAATTATTTTTAAAAATTTTTTATTTATGCCAACGTTTCAACCCAAACATGTGGGTCATCTTCAGGGCGTGGTTTGAGCACTATGGGTGTTCAAGTACTCCCCAAAAAATATTTTTTATAAAAAAAGACTGCGTCCTGAACATTTATCATCCATGATATGTAGAACAACTTCCTTCTACAACTTAATTAATATAAGTAATTCAATTTATTTTACTTTAATGTTCACTTATCTACTTCATTTTACTGTAAGTTTTTTTTTTACATACATTGTTTATGTTTCTCATACCTATTGTTATCTGATTCTTTTCTCAGCCCAGATGAAGGCCTGAACTTCGCGTAGAAACGTCGGCAAATGTTGAAATAAATATTATTATTTATTTTTGCTATATTTATTTTGACTGACCACCCTAACCATCCATCCTTCTCTTCATTATTGCCTTTGGTACAGACCTCTTTTTATCAAATTATTAACATCCGCCTGGAACTTCATAAATATCTTCATCTCATCGTAAACTACAACTATTTTATTTACTAAAATTCTTGGCATGGGGGCGTTTACAATCTGAAGATGGTCAAACTTTGTCTATTTAATTAGATACTAAAAACTCGTAAATACTCATTTGCTTTCCACTTGAATCGTGAGATAATTTAAGCACGAACTCAAGAAAAAAGGTGGTTTTCAAAAATATTGAGCCGTTTGGCGTGACCTACACCTCCAAATTATAAAAATAACGATATTATATAGGCCAAACCACCCAATATTTTTATAGGGAGTGGCCCAATACTTTTGACTCATTTTTCTGCAACCCCAGCGAATTAGAGGATAATTGAAATTTTATGAAAATTCAGTTTAATCCACTGACTGGATGTTGTATGCAGATCCTAGCATAGCTCATAAGCTTGAAACAAAAGCACGGTGATGAAAAATCATTAGATAATTTCTCAAACGATGAAAATTAGCTAATTACTAGAGCAAAATAGTTGGAATTTTATTCATGAAAATAATTCATTAAATCAGTGCGATTGAATGATGTAAAACAACGTTAATTGTTAAAGGCTAATGAAAATAGATTTTTAATGATTAGCAAGCTGGATATTTTGTTGTATACGGTAAAATTACTGTGTACATCCATAACAGTGTTTACAAGAAAGACAATGTAGGTTAGTAATATGATCAGAATAATACGCGAGAGCGTGAAAAGAAAATTAATAAACAATAATCTTATATGGATAGCTACACTGACTGCAAAGTCTGTAGGTACAGTTTTATTAGAAAGTGCTGTTTTGAAATACTAACAAGAAGCGTAATTTAAAATATTATATATTTGTTTTAAGTAAGCAGTAAAAAATGAACGGAAAATCAGTTTCATAAAATAAAACATATGCGGTTATTTGTCTTATGAATAATTTTAGTTTTGTATTACCGCGTTTTTTGGGAAAGTTAATGGTTTTCCAAAGAAGCTCACGGCATCTAAAATTTAAGAACAATAAAAAAACAAAATCAGGTTTTTTTTTTGGTTTGTTTTGTCCTCCCCTTCCTCGCCTTTAAGGCTATACGGGGGTTTTCCCGGGCCAGGGAGTGTGGGCGGGGATTTAAAAACTCCTCCGGCACCGGGACGCGAACTCGTGACTATTTTTTTATCAAAGTCTTAATGTATCAGGTTGCCAGGCAACGGCGGTGCAGTGCCCACGCGTTAGCCCATTCAGCCACCCCGCCCACATAAAAGACTCCCTCAGCACCGAGACGCGAACTCGTGACTATTTTTAAATCATTAGATTCATACGTCAGGTTGCCGGGCAACGGCGGTGCTGTGCACACGCTTTAGCCCATTCGGCCACCCCGCCCACTAACACAAAATCAGGTTTAAAAAATCGTAAAAATGTGTATAGTCCATCATATAAAGTGCCACTTCCGGATAGCCGATTTTGACGAAAAAGTTGCCGTAACATCCCTAGCATATAGAAATCTTAAATATGCAATTTCACTTTCGTACGACTTTTCGTTTTTGAGCTAGACTGTTAACACACACACACAGACCATTTTGCGGGACTTGGTTATTTGGACTCAGGGGACCTCAAAATGTGTATTTCAACTGAAAACTGAGATTCGAAAATATATATTTCATATGTAGCTAAGTGAAAGTAAAAAAAAAAATGTCTAAAAACCTCCTAAAAAAAATAAAAGCCATACTCAAACAAATTAAATTCAGTGACAACTAACTACAAATATTCATTAAAAAAATTAAATATTCAACACATTACCAGCTGATGAGTGAGTTAAGGATGTGACAGGTAAGAAGCTATCATTATATAGCAGTGAGATCATTTTCCAGGGTTTATGAATCGCCATGGCAACCGTTGACGTCAATCTCCTGCCCCTCCCCTCCTACTGTATAACCATCCATCTGAATTAAGTCACGAGATGGAGAGAACGGAAAATAGAGAATCCCTCCTCTCTCTCATCCAGAAAAAATACATATAAAAAACAACAAATACAAAAATGGCTTCAGAATATACAAAAAAAAAAGTTAACAGAGATCAACTGGGTTAAACACAACACCAATCGTTATTGTAGAACGTGATATTTATAATTTTTTAATGAAATTGAGATACATATATCATCTTATTCAGAATTCTCTTCTCTATCAGAAGAAAATATTAGTTTAGTTTATTATTTTTTTTAAGAATTATTTTATAATTTTATAACTTTCTTGCTTTTACCTTCCTTATTGACCCATCAAAATATATATTTTAAGTATTTTTCCAGCTATTAATTTTCTAATATGTAAGAACAACGAAGTTTTTGCGTTACCCACAACTAAAGCGTTAATGACATAGTAAAATAATCATAACAATGGCGATGTTATGTTGATCATATCACAATGATTTTGCACAAAACTGTTCATAAAAAACTCTAATAGAATAATCCGAAACAGGATTTAGCAACATATAACGGTGCAGTCATAAACTAAAAAAATATTTATGAAGAACAAATTTGATCTAATATTAACTTTTAACAGTTTGTTGCTAAACACATGTTTTATTATTGTATAGGTTCCTCTGTATATCATGAAATGATGACAATTTCTAATTATATTGGGTGATAAATATTCAGGACGCAGCCATTATAACGTTTTTATCAGTGCCGACGTTTCACCCCAAACATGTGGATCATCACCCTGATGATGACCCACATGTTTGGGTTGAAACGTCGGCGCTAATAAAAACTTTATGACTGCGTCCTGAATATTTATCACCCATGATATGTAAAACAGTCGACGAACTTCCTCCAATATTTCTAGTTATAAATAATTTCCATAAATTTTGTAACTAAATACGTCTGGTCAGATGATAGGTTAAAAATTATTGGTTTACATTTATATTTACTCATAGTAATTTCTAACTACACTGCTTTATAATTGGATACACCAGTCATTTTACTTTTTTTCCAGGAAGCTGACGCGGGTACAAACAACATTTAGCTGTCGTAAAAGTGCCACTTAATATTTATTCCTAGCGCAGCAGTAGCCGTAAAGCTTGCATACACATTTTCATCGGCATGTGGCAACTTGTTCCTGATTGAGGAGAGCGGCTGACGCATGGTGAAGGATCTCCACGTGCAGTCAAGCAGGATTTGATGAATTGAAAAGAGGGAGAGCGAAATTTGGTAGTGTTTAGTACACATATACTCCGGTAGATGTGACATGCATTCTCTTTTAATCTTGTACTGGATTAGACTTCTTAACTTGATGTAATCTTCTCTTAGGTTACATCGGTTGCATTAAAGTTAATTACATCACTGTCTCTTAAAAAGGGGGCCCCATATCATTCTCTTGGCTTGAGCTCCCGAAGTCCAGATCTGCCAACTATAACTACAGGTGTCAGAAATGCATAAACTCTGTTGCTCATATATCTAGAAAAATTAAAATTTCTAAAAGTTTTAAGATATAAAAATAAATTTGTTTGGGTTAATAAAGATGGTAAAAGGAACCAATGATAAAAAAAAAAAATCATAACAATCTGAGACTATGGGTTTTATGATCTGGAAGATTTTACATGGAATGAATCTATTCATCAGACATCGATGTTTGCCTAGTTTAAATTTTCAAGACAGTGTAATATCATTAAAAAAGTTATGTTTTCAATTGAACTATTTTTTGCTAAAATATTAGAAACAAATAAGCAATAAGCTTAGGTTGATAATGTTAAAGCAACCATGTCTTAACATAAAGTAGTAGAAAGATGAAACTATTAGATTTATAATAGATAGGAAGATGGCCTCGGGACCTTCTAATATAGAATTTTAATTTGAGTTCTACCAATGGGCAGTTTCTCTTCATGTTGTACTTGTCATGTTACCAATGTCACATTTACTTGTTGTATTACTCATGTAATACAGTTGTAAATTTCATTAAAATAAAAAATAAAAAAATAGTTTTACTATATTT